ATTCATGGCATAATTATTTATTGAATAATTTTTCATAAAAATCTCAAGCGTTTTGAAAATTGCTGTTCAGAAAACTTTAAAAATTTTAAAAATATTCAATCAAGAAGTAAGAAACAGTACTTTAACGTTTGTAATTGATCGCTTAGAACGTTCAGTTTCTGAAGCTACCAAATTTACAGCAAAAACAATATTTATTTGATTTTTCCAGTCACCTGAAAATAACTTTCTTAGCAAATTTATCATTCATATCCAAATTATGCAAATTTTCAATTATTCAATAAATTGTCATTTAAAATTTCAAAAAATAATCTTATTTATAATTCACCAATTTTTTTTTTGATAAGATTATTAGTTTTTACTCCAAAAAATTATAAATATGTATGTAAAATATGTTTGCTTAGTAATCCTAAATTATTTGATGTGATCATAGTTTTATGCAAAATTTAATAATTGTCTGAAAGCTAAAAGAATCGTTAATTAGAGGACAATTTCCAGTAGCTCACATTTTTTTAACAATATTTTTTTGCTAAATTTCTGTAACTTTTCAGTAACTTCTAATAACTGAGTAACTGTTTTCAGTAACTTCTAATTTCTTATTAAACAAATAATTCAGATAAGTTTAAAAGTCGACAGTGCTGATAATTAATTAATTAAATTTTAATTAAATTTATTATGGAAATTATTTTCAGTAGTCAAATTTATTACGAAAACTTGAGAAGACAAAGCCAAAAAACACCTAAACAATCTCCACATTATTAAAGTTATTGTCAAATTTCAAACTTAAGTATGTGAAACTCTTGAAAATTTTATTAAATATAATTAATGTAAATATGCATACCTTCATTTGTTGAAACTGATAAGTTTTTGATATGAATCAGCTGATTTTTTGGTAGTAGTTTCAAAATAAATACAATTCCAGAAACAATAATCAAAGCACACAAAATAGTAATACCAACAAGCACAGCTACGGAATGCTTGAAACGTTTTCGTTTTCTTAAGTTTGCAGAAGTATGGCCGGTCATTTCATTAGTGGACGAAAACAGATTACAGGTCATTGCAGTTGAAGATTAACCAGCTTTATAGCTACAGCTATACTAATAACATCTGGAATATAATTTTGCAGTATTTTTTATAAAAAACTTCGTCATATAACTAAATATCAACCATTACAAAGCAGCTACTAAATTTAAGCCAAAATACTTCTGGCAAGAGCAAGAATATGTTCAAAAGATGTGTAGAAAACATTGAAACTAAAATAATTTAAGTTACAAAGTTAATTTATTGCTAATAAAAAACAAAATTTACAACTGCTTACAGTCAAAAGTTGATTGATAATTGAAAATGCAGCAAGCAACGTCAGCAACAATTTTATGAGAATTATTCAGAGGAAATAAATGTCTTGAATAATTCTCTTAAAATAGTAAAGTTAGAACAATTATGGCATGAATAAAAAATGTATAGAAAAAATAAATTTTAATTGGTTGAAGGTACTGTAACGATAAGTTCACATTAAT